ATAAACTCTTTAGCAGAAGTGTAATAAGCTGATGTCTCCTACAAATTATTAGAAGTTGTATAGTTTTTGGAATTTAGAGACCTTGAAAGTATGTCTGCTGTAAACATTACATTAACAGCTTTTTTTATAAAAAAAAGTGCAACCACAGAATATATTAGCAAAGGAAGAAAGGCTTTCATTCTGCTTCCAAGTTTTTTCAAGTATAAGAACTAAAAACGATGTGGCTCCTAACTCAAATAACCTCTAAACAAATATTGTCACTTACAAATGAAAACATAGAAATGTATATATCTAAAAATGTTAGTTTCTACAGGCTAGATGGTGCCCAGGGATTTTGGTGGATTTCAGTGGGAGAAGAAAATGCCAGGTTGACAAATTTTTTATTCCTTTGGGATATCCTGTTTTGTAAAGTTACCATTTTCAGTGGTTCTCATCCTTCTGGCCCTTTAAATACAGTCCTCATGTTGTGACCCAACCATAAAATTATTTTCATTGCTACTTCATAACTGTAATGTTGCTACTGTTATGAATCATAATGTAAATATCTGAAATGCAGGATGGTCTTAGGCGACCCCTGTGAAAGGGTCCTTAGACCGCCAAAGGGGTCGCGACCCACAGGTTGAGAACCACTGATTTCGATACTCCTGAATTCTCCCAAAAGAAGCTGACAAAGTGTTTGAGAGAATCATCATTGACATGAGACTGGAAAAGCTTATTAACTTTGTGTATGCTTATTAAGCATACTAGAGAAGATTATCACTTGGAACAAAGCCGGTGTTTCTGAATGATTTTGTCAAACAGCGTAGCATTAAACCAAGGTCAGAAACGATAAAAGCTAAACAGGTGAGAAGAAATCCATCAAGGCACAAAGTGACATTTTTTAATGGCTAAAACTCAGACACTTAGGAAAATATTTATCACTCAACTGTGCCACAGTTTTTAAACATATTACAAAGAGCCAGTGTGTCTTTCTGAATATAAGGGCAGGCTGCTGTGTTTCAGCATAACCATTTCAGAAATGTAGGACCAGTCCTTGCTTTCCAATGGTAACAACAACAAAAACAACAATAGCAGCTAATGTTCATTGAATTATTACTATGCACCAGGCACTTCTCTAAGCACTCTATACATTAATAGCACTCCGTGTTAGATAGGTTTGATTACTTTTCTCAAGTTACAGATGAGGAATCCAAGGCACTAAAGTGTCAATAGTGATCAAGAGAAGCCATTCATGGTCCTTGTAGAATAGATGCAGACACAGAGTGACTGCCGCTTAATTCATTATCAGTGCTAAACTTGAGGTCATATGCTTTTAGTACTCATCAAATATCAAAATAATATGTTTATGTAGTTGATTTTTTTCCTGAAGAATTTTCTACCTCATTCCAGATTTGGGGCAATATCACGCTCAGATTGAGGATGAAGGTCACTAGGCAGCAGGACTCTTGAACAATGGGACCAATATCCTTCCTAGTGGGCTGGGCAGCCCTCAGAAGCAAATCTGTCTAGCCCTAGCCAAGTAGCTCAGCTGGTTAGAGCATCATCTCAATACACCAATGTCATGGATTTGATCCTTGGTCGGTGGACATACCAGAGTCAACCAATGAATGTACAAATAAGTGGAACAACAAATTGATGTCTCTCTCTCTCTCTCCTTTCCTCTCTCAAATCAATAAATAAAATTAAAACCCCCCACACATATGACATACAATTTAAAATAAACAAAACAAATCTGTCTAGACACCAAATGCTGCTCCTCAGATTAGGGAAATTTTAGGGTAAAACAGCCCTTGTAAAGACAATATAATGCCACTGGATACTGATAAGCATACTTGTGTCAAACCCAGTGTGAAAATACAGTTCCATAACGATGGATCTGTTTTGGTGATACTAGTTTTGAAAAACAATTGTATGTTGCCAGAAATTATGATCTGTGAATGAGGACAGTACTCTATTCCAACAAAAAGCTCCCCCGGTGACTGTGACATGCAGCCTGGATGGAGAATCCTAGATAGGTACAGCCTAGACAACTGAAACGCCTCTAAAAAATTAAACAGCTAAATTGACATTTAACGTGGCAGAGTAAGCAAAAAGTGCGTGTGATAAGATCACCTATCTGCTGTGTCTACTGCTTAAACATCCAAGAAATCTAAGCAGTTGTTAAAATGGGAAACCTCCTGAGAACATGACAACATATTCAGAAAAAAAAACTAAGGACTCATGTATTGATGCAATGTTATTTAAAAATCAGGAGGGCTTTGGGAGCCCTTAATTAGGGTCCCAAAACAAGTTGTACCAGAGACAGGCCACCACCTATGAACACCAAAACGCTAGACTCCTGAGAGAATGGGTGTAGATTTTTGTCAGGCTTCTACAAAACACAAAACATTCCCTGATAGTAGTCAATAATTTGCTAACAATTAATTTCCTATTATCTCTAGCCGTCCTGTTGGGTTTATGATTATGTTTGGGATTTGAATATCTAAGCTTCTTGAGGACTCCAGAACACATCTCTATAAGATTTCACTGCCTCCAGTCCGCATAAAAAACAAGTTATGGTTCACAGCTTATTTGTCATTCTCAGAGAATTTCTGAAGGCATGAGCTCAAAACACAAGCTTACTTTTACTCAAAAAAAGGGAGGGGAACATATAGGACTGTGAACCCTCAGAAAAAAAGACACCTATTAAGAAACACAACAGAAGAAAGAAACAAACAAACAAACAGGCCTAGTGGCAATTTTTGTACAGGGGCCTCTCATGCATCCTGCTGTTCACAGAGAAGCCTGTGCTGAACTGCCTGCTGCCTACTTGCACTGTGTTTCTGCCATCTGATCCAGGCCATATAAAGGAGTTCCTGGAATCCTATTTCAACCAATAGGACTGAGGTTTTCCCATCCAATCAGAGCTCTGCATCTCCTACCAATAATAGCAGTTCTATTTTGACTAATCAGAACAGTGTGTTTTGGACCAATCAGACTGTGAGGATTTGGGCTCTAGGTTTGCATGATATCAATCAGGGACCAGGGGCAGGGACTTCTGTCCATGTAAGCTAGCTCCCCCCTCCCCTCCCCATCATACTCTCCCTTTCCACTGAAGACTGCCTCTCCTTGGCTGAGCTGAAATACCAAAGAGGATGTCTCACCAGAGCAGAGCTGTCTAGCCCAGAGGGGCCTGGCCCCAAGGCTACCTCATATTCATGCTGTGGCACAATTGAGCTGTTTTGCACTAAATAGTTTCCTTCTTTGGGGCACCCTGAATTGGGGATTCCTGTTGGCTTTGAACCCTCTGACCATGGGTGGACAGAATCAAGACTTTTCATCATCAGAGTTTCCATAGTTTCAGACCAATATAAGCCCAGAATGCTGCTGCAGAAGGGAAGTCAAATTCTTCCTTTTCTGCTCTCTTGATGCAAATGCCAATTCTGAATGGTCCTCTCTACAGGTTAGAAGATCTTCAGATTCTGGTCCTGAGGATCCTACAGGTGCTTCAGCACATCTCCCTCACTCTTGGGTAATCATGAAATAAGGGACCCAACCACAATGACCTCTCCCAACTAGAACCAGATTTCTCTAGATCTTACCTAGAGAACAAGGGGGTCAAAGGAGATTATTAGGAGAAATGGGGAACTACATGCTCTTTCCCCAAAGCCATGACAAACAACAAAACAACCTGAGGCAAAAACAAGATTACCCCAAATGTGCAAAGTGGATGCACATCTGAACCATGATGCCCATTCTTGGAGACTTGGGGTTTCCCAGAGCCTATTCAGAGTTGAAGCTTCTCACAAGGTTAAAGATGGACTGGGTCACTGGTCTGGTTGTATTCTTCTTCATCAGTACAAGTGGGTAAGTATGGTCCTAGCATGAGTGCCAGCCCTACAAAGTTGTGCAAACCCTGACTGCTCTGCTGCTGCGCCTGTGCACAGGCATTAGAAGGTTCCTTGGGGTTGGGTAAGCTCAGGGGCGCCACCAGATGCCAGGATGTGTGCCTTAGGTGTCTGCAGAATGACAGGACCCAGCAGAGCTTCGAGTCTGCAGGAGTGAGCAGTGATGGAGGGCGCGGAGCACCGGCGCGCGGACCATTAAGTCTACCAGACTGGAGAGGCCTGGCCTCTCCCGATGTGTCCGCGCCCGGGTTGGAGACTCGCCCACCGCGCCCAGGCACTGCGCC